ACACACACACACACACACACACACACACACACACACACACATGATTTTCTTGTAGTTCTTGAGCTGGTAAGATAAGATAATATAATACAGTGATAGGCGTACCTTCTCTCCAGTCTCTCCTTCACCTTCCTTTGCCTTTCTGCGGCGACCTGCCTTCCCCTCCCTCGCTTTCTTTGGCTTTTTCTTTTTACCAAAGCATTTCTTAAAAATGCAGAAGATGAAGCATGCCACCAAGACCAGAACCACCACAACAATGGCTCCCACTGCCCACATGGGAACTGCCAAAATAGAGATATGGGTTGGCCCATCAGTGGATGTTATAGAAGTATGGTTATCATGAAAGTGCTGGAAATCTCTGACCCGCCTTTGCTGTTAACATACACAGAACTAACACAATGCTGAAACAACAACCAAAACCTCATCAAACAAATATGAGTCAGAACTTCAGATTGATATCCTCACTTTTCAATTCTCTCTATGGAAGGTTTTTTAAAAGCTTGCTGATCTCGTACCTTAAGAAGAGGATTGAACTTTTTTATATCTTAAAATTACAAAAAAAAACTAGGGAAAGTCACTTTTTCCCAGTGTTCAGTTGCATCAGGTTAATCAGTTATAACAATATTGTTCAAGGGGACCTATTATCCACCTAATTGTTTTTTACAGTAGTGTGCAAAAGTTTTGAGCCACCCCTCATTTGTGATATTTTCGATTTTGAGCAGCAAGGTCTTGAGCATTAGTTCTCCAGACTTTCTGAAGGACTGTGAACATTGGGTTCTTTTTCACTCATTTTCAGTCCAGTTCTTGTATTTGGGCTTTTTCAAACAAATGCCTTTTTGCATTCAAGAAGAAAAAAACTAAAACTAACACAATAGATGAACCAGTGCTTTGTCCACACACATAATTTAGCAAAGAAGGAATTCTTTAGTTGAATATATGAATGCCAAAGATAACACAGTTTGATGGGCATAAAATAGTATTTTTGCAGGTTTTAGATGTGTCCTTGATCGAGCACAGCTGATTTAAATGGCTAAATTACCTCCTCAACATGTCTTAAAGTTCTCCAGAAGTCTGATAATGAACTAATCATTTGAGTCAGGTGTGTTGACCGAGGGTTTAAAACCTGCAGGACACCAGTCCTTGAGGCCTGGAGTTCCCGACCCCTGGTATACACAAAGGAAGTCAGGAGAGATGTACAAAAGTGAGTGTCCACAGGCCTCTGTAAAACACGGTGGAGGTTCTGTCATGGTTTGGGCCTCCATTTCAACCAGTGGTGTTGGAGATCTTGTCAAAACTGATGGAATTATGAATGCAAAAATGTGCTTGGAGATTTTGATCACCATGCAGTACCATCTGGAAAGACTTTGTTTTTCAGCATAACAATAATCCCAAACATACCAGCAGTAAAAGTATACCTGGATTTAACTACACACACACACACACACACACACACACACACACACACACACACACACACACACACACACACACACAACACACACACACACACACACACACACACACACACACACACACACACACACACACGCACGCACATGGACTGGCCTCCCCAGAGCCCAGACCTCAACTTTATTGAAGCAGTGTGGGATCATCTTGACAGAGAACAGAACAAAAGGAAGCAAACTTCCAAAGAAGAGCTTTAAATGTCCTTCAAGAAGCCTAGAGAACTATTTCTGAAGACTACTTAGGAAATTACAAGAAAGCTGCTTAAGAGAGTTCAGACTGTGTTGCAGAATTAAGGTGTTCATATCAAATATTACCTTTCAAGCTCTTTATAATTGTACAAAGCCTGATTTTTGCCTCATACAATTTATGAGGCAAAAACGTTTATCTATGTTTCCACGTGTTTCAATAATCAGTGAATCCATTTCCCATTTTCCACGCAACATATGAGTGAATTAGAGATGGCATAAGATTTCTGCACTGGAATGCATTCTTAGAATAGTGGACGCCTCATTTAAATTTCAAAATATTCTAATACTGGGCCTTAGCGCAGAGGCTTAGTTTATGTTTGATCTGAAATAGGTCAAATAACTCACAGTTATTTGTATGTGATTACCTCATTTTTTCAGACTTTGCTCATGGTTGTTTATGAGTATCTGCCACTGTAACAATAAATATATTTCAGAAAGTAAAAGCAATACATAGCAGTTCCCCTTCAGACATTAACAGCTGTTCATGAGCTTGGAGACAGAACCAAAGGTGTAATGCATAATGTCAAAATAAATCATGATTTCTTCTTTTTACCACAATAACTAAAACTTTCTCAAAATTATATTTTAAGCACTTTGTTATCTATGTTTTGCTAATGTTGTGTTATGTCAATAACACACATGTCAGCATTGAGATAATAACAGTCTGTAAACCCACAGCCACCACTAGTTGCTCCACCAACCGCAGAAGCTCATTAAACGCTTTACTCTTAGCATCATAAGCAGTAGTTCTTCATTTCTTGGCAAAATGACTCAGAAGCACGTTTTCGTGTTCTGTCATTGTAGGCATAAACACTTAAACTGTTGACGTTCTTTGAAATCATTCTTTATGCCACATCACTTATGTTAAAAAGAGCAATTTAGTGTTGGAAATTTCTCCTTACATCTACAGTAGCTTGAACTTTTGTGGAAGACTATAAACATAACTCCTAAACATAACTGGTAAATACATTGATAAATATTATCCATCTTCTTCTGCTTATCTGGAGCCGAGTCACAGGGGCAGCAGCCTAAGTAGAGAAGCACAGACCTCACTCCCTGGCCACCTCCTCCAGCTTGTCCGGGGTAACACCAAAGCATTCCCGGGCCAGCCGAGAGATATAATATCTCCAGCATGTCCTGGGTTTGCCCCGGGGCCTCCTCCCGGTGGGACATGCCCGGAGCACCTCACCCAGGAGGTGACCAGGAGGCATCCTTATCAGATGCCTGAACCTCCTCAGCTGGCTCCTTTCGATAAATAAATTATAAATCCCTTTGATAAATATAAATTCAACATAATGTAAATTCTGCACAGGGATAGTTTCCTCCCCAATAGCCACATTTAGTTTACGTCATCACTGGTTTATGGATTTCTGTATCATTTTGCAGATTGTGGCAGTAGCTTACTTGACAGATGACTCAGCTCATTCATGAACTTTTCCTTCATGTGGTTGTAGTCGTGCCCAGGGTGATGTTCTGTATGTGAGTGCTCATGGTGTTCTGAATGAGAGTGCTCATGATGAGCAGGCTCTGTTGTTTCCTCCGATTCTGGTTCAGACGGCTCAGCGGCCCTCCGGACTCGAACCCCAGCACCGACCAGCCTCATGTCAGCTGCCAAAACATTAGAATTACTACAGTTATTCACGCTGTTTTTAAGTTGGCTGCCACATTGAATGATAACACAACTTTACATGCATGCTGTGTAATCCCTGTGTTAATGTGTTGCAGGAAGGTTGAAGAGCATAGGACAACTCTAAGCCAGATGCTCAACATGGCTGACCCTAATCCCTCTGTTACTCTCATGCTCTCCTCCATCTCGTGGCCCACGCTTTCACTCCCACGTTCAGCCCATCCCCATTTCTCTCTCATCACTGACTCTGCTGTGGACTGGATTAAACTATGCCTCTACAATATTAATCCAAAACCACAGATTCTCAAAGCTTTAAAAAATAGGGGTTGGTATCATCCTTTGGTTTGCCTTGCATAAAGCCACTGTTTCTGTCATATTGACTGTTTAGAACAATATTTAAATGAGGTTAAGTGGAACACAGGCAACTTTTGGAAAAAACTGATTTTTTAATAAGTAGTTATTATAAGCTGTATTTCCATTTTAAAAGCAAACAAAAATGGCAGTAAAAGTAATTTTTACCCATTTACTATGTTTAATAATTGAACATTGAAATTAAATATAGCTTAATGAAATTAAATGATCACTGAAGGACATTTATTAAAATTGAAAACACGATGTGACATCTAATAGGAAAGTAAAGTATGTAAAATGAACCATTTGCAATATTAGTGGTCCTTTAAATTAGTTTCTTCAAAGCCAACAGAAAGAAAATACACACACAGAAATACAGCATGTTTTTCCCCTCAGTTTAGACCCTTTTTTTTTTTTGTTTAAGGATTTTTCCACTTAATCATAACAACAGTGTTTGAAATTTTACTGAATATTTATCTTACCTGTTGATATCTCCCTTTAATTTTGTCAACACCAAAAGGAGGCAACTTCTAGTTCGGTGTCTTTCTTGTAGCTTTTCCTCTGGCTTGTTGAAGACCCTGCACACCTATCAATCCTTGGGTATGCTGTTGACTAGAACTGGCAGGCTCCCTGCAACCCTTTCCACCAAAGCTAAAGCACTGGCAAATCACTAGAGAAATGTTGTCATTTAATCCCCCCACTTCCCCCCCTCCTACTGATATTAGAAGGCAGACAACACATCTGTTGCTTTACGTCTGACTAAAGAAAAATTTAGACCATCATTCACCTTTTATCGTGTTGTAGTTGCAGGGTTGGTAAATTTAACATGTTGAAGTATTCAAAGCTTTTCCTTGCGCCAGGGGAAAACTGTTTATTACACTGATGGCAGTGTTTATCCATTAGACTCAAGAGATTGTAGTACATCCAGCCCTTCACTAATCTCCTCAGCATAGCTGCCCTCGCAGTCGATCGTCCAACAACAACTTGTACTGCGAGTGGATATTGTGCATGTATGTGTGGATATGTAGTTTCCCATCCTTTTAGCCTGCCATTTTACTGTACAAAACACATACGCATATTTATTAAACTGTAAACAGTAATCTGCAGGGATAT